ATTTCACAAGCATTAAATAACTCACTGTGCGAAATGGATCTTTTCCGATCATAATTATTCTGAACCTTGGCAACTGCCCCAGAAGTCTGCTTCCTATCATCAACAACTGGAAGGTCTCTTGCCGCCTTCAGATGGTTGCCCTCCGTCATTCTCTCACATAAATTATTGTTAGGGGAAGCACCATTTTCTTTGGAAGGTACCAGTTTATCACCTTCAGTCGCATGTATGGGACTGACTTCATCAACCAAACATGTATATGCTGGAACAGCATGAAGCATTGCTCCGCCCGTAAAACTTTTGCTTCTGTGATTGGTTTTATGGTATGACATGTTGAACTTCTTGGCACCATCAAATGATTGATAAGACGCTTCATGTGACAAAACACGATTCCCCTCGGTATCAGAAGGATCTGCCTCTTTCGAAGGCGACCGCTTTTCAGCCGGCTTCCTATTCATAAGAAGGAATACAGTCATACACACACGCCAGAATGTCAATCTATGTAGCTGTAAAAAGTTTGCTTCTTTATCTTTCGGTGTGAAATGTCTGTTATTTCCGGTTGATTTAATCCTACATATAAGAACTAAGAGCTCTCGGATTCGGTTCAAATTTATCTTCTTGAAGTTTTCTCAGAAACCAAACAAAGGATGAAATTATTAACGGTTGAATTTCAACTGCAATTTACAACTGCCAGCTACCGAAATTACTCAAATTTATAAAAATCAAACTGAAATTTCAAAGAACGAGCTATCTAAAGTATCAAAATTACTAATTTACCATGCCAGATTACGAAAGAAACGAACTTGCAGACTCAAAAAACATGTAAAATTGCGCATTCTCAAGGAGCGAGGAGTAAACGTACCTTCTTTCCTTCTTCTTCGGCTCCGCAAAGAGCTCCTCATACGGCACTGCGAAATCCGAATCTCCAAATCCACCGAAGACGTTAGAGTAATCGAGCTTCGAGCTCCGAACATCCACCGAATCCTTCCGCTCACGGAGCTCCGGAACGTCAAGCACCGGAATCGACGAAGCTCCGGAGCCGCCGAAAATCTCGCCGTAGTCGTCGACTCGGGAGGAGAAACTCGAGACATTGAACTTGGATGCAGCTGCGGAGGAGAAAACGCCGTCGTATATCGCCAGACCGTTGGAGAGCTTCTGAGAAAGCGACACGGACGAAGCTTGGTAATCCATTGATGGACCGGAAGGTGAGAACTACGCGCTGCGCTGCGTTTTGCTTCTTCTTCCTCCTCCTGTCAGTGTTCGGAGCAAAATCCACAGAGAGATCACCGTGAGAGAGATGAAATTATGAGAGGATTTTCCGGGAAAATGTTGTTATGCGGTCTAACTGTCGGAGTACGGAAGTTGAATTAATCGGTTTTGGAGCAAAAGATCGGGAGGGTGACCGGCGGTAGCCGGTGAGTGTGGACAGTGAACTTTTGACTCAGGCTTTTTATCGATTGGCTGTTTGTGCTGTCGTGTTGCGTGGGAAGCTCTTCCGAATCCGACGCGTCAGTGTCAAATCTGCAACAGTTGACACCGACAAAAGAAAGGGGTAAATTGGGTATCATGCTAAAATCAGGGGTAGTTTTGGAAGGTTAAATAAACAACTGAAAAAAAAAAAAAAAAAAAATTTCATGTTTATAAGAGCGATTGAAGGGAAGGATAATCGTAGTGGCCAAACTCATGGAAAAGACTTAGCTGCTGAAAGATTCAGCAGCATCTCCTGTTGTCAACCAATTACGGTTAGATATGTGTCTAAATTGTGATTAAAAAATTTACAACTTGGATACGTGTCCAGCCGTGATTGGTTGGCAGCAAGAGGTGCTGCTAAATCTTCAGAAGTCAAGTCTCGTTCCAAACTCATCAAGATGATCAGCCATTCAGTATTACGGTCTTGTGATATTCATTTTCATTTGAAAGTGAAAAATCTTAGGTTCGAATATCATGGATGACGAATTTGACACCAAATTAGGCTGTTCATTGTGTGGCTTAGCCAAACTCCCCCTCCCCTTAGCTTAAAAATATCGATGTACTCGGAAGAAAAAAAAAAAAAAAATCAACCAGATGGTTCATAAATTAAAAAAGCAATCAATGTCATCCTTAACACATGGGTGGTGTAAATGAATATTGTCCTTCCATTTAGAAAAAAGAAAGAAACTCCCAAATATTCTAATGCTTAACTGAAGTAAATAATAACGTATTAGGTCCACAAGCAAATCTCCACAACTGAGCATAAAGAAAGCACTCATTGCAGGCCGGTGAGGCAAAGTACTTATTCAAGAAGTGGTTATTACCAAAAGCGGAATGGGAAAGATGGATAAAGAAAGCCTAATTATAACAAAAGTCCTTCTAACTGGTATTCATTTGAATGTGACTAGAATCCAACCGTTGTTTGCACAAGTACTTATCATGTGACTACAACCTAACGGTCGTTTTTTCTTTTGGTAACATAAAGTGGTGAATCATCATCCTAAAAACTAGCTCAAAAACTTACTACAAATAGTTCGAGTTCTAAGAACTCATATTATATTATCAAATAACCGAATTCTAATTTAATAAAGGATTCTCAACACAATAGTACTTAAGATTCATATTATAGCTTCAATTAGCATTGTCATCTGCCACCATGCTCTTTTCCCAATAGACATGCACTAACTCGCATTCGGCTATGTGTTTCATAAATTGTCTGCACCGATAAATGATGCTAGCAAGATGATGAAAGTCGGTATTGATCATATAATTAATTCAATTAACCTAACGGTCGTTTTTGTTGAAGCCTTTTGAATGCAAATATGCAATAGAGAGACGATTCACGTAACTAACTAAAACAAATTCGGCAATGGCAATGCCCAATGTGTGATCTAACCAATTCATTCGTTTTTGGCTTGAAAATTAAAAATGTAATGCGACTGACTTAAAGTAATCTAAGTTGCATATTTACTATTAGCTTAAAAACGCTTTCAAGTAACTAAAATGACGTTTATGAAAGTGCTTTATGACAAAAATAGTGATAATTTTATAATGCTTGTAACATGAACACTTCCAATCAGGCGTTTAGTGGTGGATCTGGAATTTTAAACCTCATACCAAGATAATCATACAGTCCTTTGCGGACCTTATGTGCTTTTTTTTTTCTTTTTTCCAGTTTTCAACGGTCTCGAGGTTTAGTAAGCCCCTAATGGATCTGTCCTTTATTTATGCACGGCAAGAAAATAAATTAGTGAGAATTTACAACTTGCTCATAAAAGGCAATCTCAAGCCAACAAAACTTTTCGTTTTGTGATTGGCGGAGAGTATCATACGCAATCTTACTTGTATTTTGCAAATATGTTATTTTCATAACTCAAACTTATGACTTTCAATCACCAAAAATAACATTTTTATTACGTCAAGACTTATCCTCAACCACTTATAGCTCATAAACCTTGCAATAGATTAAGACATAGCTTTTACTTTCTACAAAAGCACGTCATCATCTGTGGCCGCACATGCACACTTTCATCTGCAAAAGTTACAAGTAACGATCCTGCGAGGACTAGTAAACAACTATGTATGATTGGACTGAGGAGACAAAGCCTTTTTGGGGGAATCTAATGAATATCTTAGATTAATGATCACATGAATAATTGATGCATAAAAAATATATAATAATGTGATGATCATGAGGCTCCTTCTGTCTTTCGCTTTTTCTTTAGCTTAGTGCTTTGCCAACACCGTTGAACAGGCTTTTATTTGTTGATGGAATTTCTTAAAATCCATGTCACGAGATAATAATACACGTATTGTGATAATACTCTAATATACATTGCATGAATGTAAGTTATTCTCCTTTAATAGAAAAAAATGATACAAAACACCTAATGCTGTAGAGTTAGAACATGTATTATGACGAGGCGAGGGGCTATTTTAGCATCCCAAAATGAAACTATATATTCAAGAAATCTAACTCACCTCTTGTGACGCGTCATCCATCTGCCCAAGAGACACATTATGGTTGAGAATCCTGCTCTCATAAGGTTCCCGTTTGGGGACCTATGAGGATTCCATGCATATTAGTCAAAAAATTATATTAGTTTAGATTAAGAAAAACTTAAAATATTTGGCCACTTAATAAAGCAAAATCAGCTTAAAATTCATGAACTAATAAAAAAACTCATTTTTATTGCTTTGCTTTATTAAGTTGTCAAATATTTTAAACACTTAGATCTAAACTAATGTAAATTTGTGACTAATATGCATTTTGTCCTTACAATTCCTTAAATAAGGACCTTAAGAGACGAGGACTATATGGGTGACTCTCCTGCATTCTAGTCCCACAGTTCTCCAATTACTAGTGGATTCAAATTCGGGGGATCCCCTTGTATCTGCCACAAAGGGGTAATTCTAGGGAAATCAAATATTTAAACCAAATTTTGTAACCTCAAATAATGTGGTTGTTGATAATTAGATTATTACTTAAGTGTTGATTAACGTGCTTATTTCTAATTGGTATTCCCTCATTTTGTTTGCAAATTTAATTTAAAATTTTGATTTCATTAGCATTATCCGTCTCCAATGAACGTATGACTGAAAAAATCTCCCCCTTGCAGGGAATTTTTTCTCCTGTACATTTTGGGTTCAAAGTCCAACTCCATGGGCTAGACTTTTTGCTTAGAATTATAGTCAACCCACAATCCATAGACCTACTTTTGGGCCTGAGGCCCAATAAGTCATCTGGGCTCAGACCTAAACCCTTTATTTTCTTTTGTTAATTTACCAATTACGAGCAAAGAGAAAAAAATGCAGGCACAAAACAAAACCAACGGAATCCTCTCCAGATTTTTTTGTTGCCTTTTCGGATTCTTTCGATGAGGATCTTAAAAATTTGTAAATTATATCGTTTATTGTATATTGTGCAACCAACTTTATCAAGTACTGTTTATATTTAATTTTAAATAAAAACATTTAAAATAATTTCTAACCAATATTGTACGAAGAAGGGACGATAAATAGATCCGGAATCCTCACAAAAGGATCCGGTGAGGATCCGAATTCGGCACAAAAAACCCTCTCTTGCAGAAATAGAGAGTCGGAGTCTACTTGCCTTGAACAAAAAGAAAACCCTCTATAAAATTCCCCAGAAGTTCACTGAGAGAGAAAGGCACTGTGATTTCTGCTTTAGAGAGAGAAACAAGAAACCCAGAAGTTCAGCGAAAGAGAGGCACTGTGATTTCTGCTTAGGGAGAGAAACAAGAAACGACGCCGTAAAGATGTTCAGGAACCAATACGACACCGACGTGACGACATGGAGCCCCGCCGGGCGGCTCTTCCAGGTGGAGTACGCCATGGAGGCAGTCAAGCAAGGGTCCGCCGCCATTGGGCTCCGATCCAAAACTCACGTGGTTTTGGCGTGCGTCAACAAGGCCAACTCCGAGCTTTCTTCTCACCAGAAGAAGATCTTCAAGGTCGACGACCATATCGGCGTCGCCATTGCCGGGCTCACAGCCGACGGCCGGGTGCTCTCCCGGTACATGCGGTCGGAAGCCATAAATTACAACTACACGTACGAGTCGCAGCTCCCCGTAGGACGACTCGTCGTTCAGCTCGCCGATAAGGCTCAGGTAAAAGCCCTAATTTTGAATCTGTTTATGCAGCTCATTTATGTAAATTTTTGGTTTTTAGTGGATGGGTTTTGTGACTTGTGGTTGTTGGATGGGGAATTGGGGATTAGGGTTCTTCCTGGGGGTGGGTAGTTAAAATTCTTAATTTCCGGGGGGTTTCTGGGAAATTGACGGTCTCATTAGGTATCAAACAACCCAAGTTAAAAGATCATATCTTGTTACTCCGTTTCACCCGAGTAGCATATGGTAAAGTGAAATTTCGGGGCAGAAATGATAGGCTATTTGGGTTTGGATTGTGGTGTAGTTGTAGACATTTGTCCAACTGGCTTTGTAGGAATTCTTGTGACCATGAAGATCTTATACCTTTTCTTGTAAAGTAGTTATAGACATGTACATTATGCATTTCAATAAAAAATCGGCTCCAGGTAGAGAGGATAACTTTGTTTCGGGATCCCGTACCTCCGGAAAAGTTGGTTTGTTGTTGATGAGCTACTAGCTACTGTTTGTAGATTACTGGTGTTAAGAATCATGTATGATACAACTTATGATAAATGTACTTTATTTGCGTGTGGACAGAATTCTGAGATAAGAACTTTCCTCCCCCCTTCTCTCTCTTTGTGCATACACTCACATGTACACACTATTTATCTTTGAATCTTTTAGTTAAATTTTATTTCAGATTGGTATACAGAGGTTTATCTTTGCATATTCTTATGCATTCATTTAACAATTTTGTGGAGACATCTGCTCAAATTTCGTAAGCTTTAATCCACAAGGATACAAGTGAATGGATTCAGTAAGATTATGTTAGTTGCGTATTTTGCTTATTCTCTGAAGTGAGTTGAAGTTGAACTCTAGACTTGAGAAATTTGTAATTTTGTTGGGTTCTGAAATCAGCCGTTTTAGCTTGAGGAATTGTCGTTTGTTACTAGTAGATGCTGAATCTGTTTGTCACCCGTATTCTTCTGATTAGAAGCAAAACTTTGCAAAACTGCCTCAAAAAGAGCAAAAAAACTCCTTGATGTCTCTTCAATATTTATTTTGGTCTCTCTGATCAGTTATCTTCCCTTCATGTTTACCACTACATGTGTCTATTTGTACATCTATTTGGAGAGCCTATGTTTCGTTTTCTTAGTTATATACCCTGTGGATAACAGGTCTGTACCCAGCGCTCATGGAAGCGACCGTATGGTGTTGGACTATTAGTAGGTGGGTTGGATGAGTCTGGAGCACACCTATATTACAACTGCCCAAGTGGGAACTACTTTGAATACCAGGCATTTGCAATAGGGTCTCGCTCACAAGCTGCAAAGACATACTTGGAACGCAGGTTTGAGAACTTCACAGGCTCTTCAAGGGAGGATCTGATCAAGGATGCCCTCATTGCAACTAGGGAAACCTTGCAGGGAGAAAAACTGAGAAGTTCCATATGCACAATTGCTGTGGTAGGAGTTGGGGAGTCATTCCATATATTGGATCAAGACACCGTCCAGAAGTTGATCGATGAATTTGAGATCGTGCAGGATGAGGCTCCTGCTGCTGAACCTGAAGCTGGTGCTGAGCCTGCTGCAGCTGCAGAAGAGGGTGCTGGTGCTGGCGCTGACCAGGGTGCTGCTCCCGAACCAGATGTAGCTCCGATGGATATTTGAGGATGATACTTACAGCTGCCTTTTCGTCCTTTCAACGAGGTTTTCTAGCATTATGTGTTTTTTTAAGAGTATGGATGGTATTTGTGGAAGATAACAATCTGTCGTTGAACATTCGCCCTTATCTTTTTCTTCTCTCTTACAAACATTTTGAAGGTGGCTTCTGCTTAGATCAACTTTGCATTCGGTACCGTACGACACAGTTATTGAACCTAACTGGTGTCCAAAAACACCGTTCTTACGGAACCGTTTACAGAGCTTGTGATCTTTTAACGTTGTTTTGATGAATTTAGTGTAGATTATCATGTTGTTTGTCACACAATCTAGCGAGCGCTGCAACTCTAAGTGCATCTACAAGGTTTTCGAGCAAAGTTCGGTTTTCTATTAGCTCTTGCTTCGCCTCAGAGGGAGTTTAGTCGTTAATACCATCGTCCCTTTGAAATTTTATTAGAAAAACCGTGGTTGCAGGCAAGCATTGCAGTTTCAACTTCAGATTTTGCTTAAGAGAGGATAACATTGATCAAATAGAAAAGGATATGAACAGGATCGAGGAATTTGAAATAATAAAAGGACTATTTGTGATAAAAACGCAATATTTAGTGTCATATAACAAGTAAAAACTTGCAAAAACAGTAGACATAGTAAACCAACATTGCAACTTAAAACCAGAAAGAAAAGTTACAAAACAGCCTCGATCTGTTCAGGATCCTCCCCTGATGTTCTTCGGTTGTACTCACTCGTCAAGTCAGCCTCAAAATGCAACCATCGTTATGCCGTTGCTTTCGAAAACACATATAGTTGGCTAGTAGTCATGAATTTTGAAACAATCGTTGTTCCGATAACACAATAGAACAAAAAAAATCATGTGGGGATCTGAGGAAGAGTGAGGCCTTTGGTCAGCATCTGCTTGTACATCCATTGCCAGTTCTCGGGCGTGACCTCACCCCCGAGAGATCGAATAACAGATCCGCCACTGCACGATCCTACTTTGCAGCATTCCTCCAGAGATAATCCCTTCACCAATCCATATAAAAATCCACTCGCAAACAGGTCTCCTGCTCCTGTGGCATCTACTGCATTGGCTTCCCCTATGGCTGGAACTCTCACAATCTGACACAGGAAGACAAAAATTTCAGAAGATACCCTCGATAATCAACATAACACCGGGCTAAAATCTTACTAAGCTTCCGACCTCTTTTCCATGCTTTGCCATACATCCGTTGGAGCCTAACGTCACCACAGCCCAGCGGCAGTGTTCCGCCAGAAACTCAAGTGCAACCTCGGGATCAGCCTTCTGTTCACCCTCGGAACCTCTACAACAGAATTTAACACCACATTACCAGTCTGCTAGAAAAGAAGGAAAATCAACCGAAATGGTAGAAAAGGAGAGGCAGCTTTATTTCATCAAAATTGGGGTTACCAGTTCTAACATATTACAATTCCAACCAAAAGAAAGTCACCTTAGCAACTCTGCTGCTTCATCCTCATTGGCAAAGCAGAGATCTATGTCCCCTGACTCCAGCAGCTGCAGAAGAGGTGATCTAAAGTTGCGAACCATCTGGGTAAGGTTAAAGACTATATAAGATAATATATAGAGACCTGAAACTTGATATTAAAAGCCGAAATAAGAAAACAAAGATTAAGAACCAGAACTATGTATTTTCACTTTGCTTGCAAATAAAAACTCAAGATTCTAAACCAATGCACTTGCAGCTATATTAGTTTTCTTTAGTTAGCCTTTCGGTTCAAGATTGTATGGGGGCTGCTATTCTCTAATGAAATTTTTGTCATTCATTCTGGAAACGGCATTATCTTGTGTCATAACGCTCTCTCCCAGTCAATAAGTCATGAGTAGGATCTCAACTTGCTTGGACAACAAATTTGGACAAATCCCATCCTCCAAACAAAAGAATCCGAAGAAAAATAATTGTACCTCAAAACTGGCCAAGTCTAAGGACACAAATAGACCCTCTTGTTTCGCAATCGATATAGCCGCTTGAATCACCTCCAAATTGATGATACCATACCTCAACAACAACCACTGAAAGGAAAGAGATATCAGCATTTACATATACAAAACCCTTTCAACTATTTAAATCATACCAACCATGTCTAAGTTTCACACATGATTCTGCGTAAAGCGCATTATGACATTACATTTTGTTGGAGCATAGAAGAGACTAACCTTAGAGCCCTTAAAGTCCGCTCTCGTCAAGTCATCGGCCTGGATAACATAATTCTAATAATTCTCTGTAAGCTCATTCAAAGAAGTTGTCCAAATACTGACAGCCCAAGCACACACCACACACAACACACACACACGCATGCAGAGACACGCAGATATGTATGCATACATGGGCATATAAACAGAGGCACGCACCTGAGACTGAAGTTTCACAGCACTTGAGAGACAGGGACGCATTGTCCGATTGCCCAAAGCATCGACCAAGCAAACACACTGCACCACACCAAATTACCATCAAAGTTTCAGCACTCAACATATACAAACTCAATCCGTAAACCCCGAAAAAAGACAGAAAATGAAGCTAAATCCTAACCTGAGCTGTGGGTCCCTTCTTCATCCTCAATCTAGAGAGGTTCACAGCATGAGAGCTCATGTTACTGACAAATAACTGGCCTTGCTCATCATCTCCACATGCACCAATTATCCCACAGGAGACTCCGAAACCGGCACTCAGCCCTCGGATAGTATTGGCAACACTGCCACCGGCGATGGTTTTCATTGGCAAGGAATCATAAGGGGATGAAATTACATGGGTTTTCACCTCACTCAATATATACTCAAGCTCTTCAATTTCAACCTACAAAAATATGTCCCAAAAGCTAAAGTCCCGAACTTTCTGATTGAATTCAGCAACATTAACAAAACCCAGAATTCAAAATTATACAAATCCATAAAAAAGCATCAAAATTTGCAAACCCAAGTAGCAGAAAAAAAAAGAAAGATTAATATTGCAAAAGGAGCAATGAAGTCGAAGGGGATTACAGGAATGGAGCCACCGCGCTCGCCGGGGAGTTGATCGAGCAGGGACCAGTCAACGCGGGCAACATGGTCGACGAGGGCGGAAGCCTGTAGTCCCAGTACCAGAGGAGCCTCTTGCGCGGCGGGGTTGGCGGTGGCGGGTGAGGCTCCTGCACCCATTTTCCTGGCCCTTCTGGCTCTTTGGGAATCGGTACTCTGCTCTCTCTCCTTCTCTGCACACTCCGGCTTGTGTTGTTGTCGTGTATTTATATACACTGCAAAGCAATCGTGTATTTATATACAATGCAAAGCAATCAGGAGGCGCCGTTGCAAGTTCGCAGGTCCAGTCCAAAAGCCTGAACGGGCCACGTCTTGTTCTTGTTCTTGTTTAGTGTTTTTTTCCCTCTTATCTTGTTTTGTTTAGTTGATGTCATGTGTTTGTATGTTTCATTATGTCACTATATTCGTAAATATTGTCGAGAGATGTTATTGACACTTAAAAGAAGTTATTTTTTACTTATTGTAATGTCATTTTGTTTCTAAATATAGAAAACTTGAAGTATAAGATGTCTTGCATTTGTAAACTCAATTAAATGTTACGATTAAATTTATAATTTTTATGAAAATAAAGGGTTTTTCTTGTCAAATGAAAATGAAATTATTGAGTTTTCGATAAATTCTTTGCATGGGTGGTGGAGCCCGAGCATCTTCGGATTGCTCTACATTACGTGTAAGAAGCTTACAATACAACGGACAATAATTTCAAATTATTGTCTATAAACTTTGAGAAATTATTAAAAAAAACCGTGAGTTAATCTTCTTCTTTTAAAAATGTGATCGTTGAGTTTTGGCGAAATCTTTTAATTGGTTTTATATGGGTGAAGGCGTGGAGCAAACCGTTAAAAAGGCGTGAAGCAAACCGTTAGAATTTAGAAAAGAAAGAAAAAACTAAGAGAATTGTTATTGGCACTTCAAAATTTTCAAATTTTTTATATTTAAAAAGAAAAATACACTTGTAAGAAGTATAAAATGAGATTTTTGGAGTGCCAATAAAACTTCACAAAACTAATTGGATTTATGAACAAAGCAATTCAAAATGTCTCTTAAGTCTAGTGCTAACTGAAGCATCCCCAGGGTGTCTTAAGGAAACACTCATGTACTGTTCACTTTTAACGTTAAAGATATTTTTACTTTAAAATGTCACTCCTGGTACTATTCAGTTACAACACATTTTTGTCATTTTGATTAAAACTTAAAGTTTTCAAGTCATTTCCATTAGTTTTCTTTATATTATATGATAGAACACATCACCAACAACTAAGGGAACAAGCTTTCTTTTGTATCCATCCATTGCCTTTGTTTGTTTTAATTTAATTTCCAAACAAAAAAAAAATGATAAAATAAACAACACTTTCAAGGAAAATGTCTGATGAAGCTTTATTATAATTAAGTCCATGTATCTTAGTGCGATTTTTTATTTTTTATTTTTTTAAACAAACTATATCATCGACACTAAGGGATAGGAGAGTTTGGCTAAGCCTCACAATGGGCTAACAATAATGTAGTTCAAATTACTTTTGGTGGTAATCGAACTTAAACCTTACAATGGACTAGCAATAATGTATTCCGGTACGAATTTAATATCTACGGATACTCAAAAAGGGGAAAATTAAGAGGAATAATTGGAAGAAAATTTAGAGTAGGGCATGTAGAGGAGAGATTTATCGCGTAGGGTTTGATTCATTTGAATTATTGGTGGGAATCCAAATCATCTTCCATCATTTTCTGCTGATTCATTCAAATGATTGTTGGGAATCCCAATCATCTTCCATCATGTTCTACTGAAATCACGGAGATTTCAGCTTTCCAAGATTCCCATTAGCCAATTATTCTTTTAGAAAATGTTCTATCATCATAAACATTTACAACGTTAGGGTGGCAACTTTCCAAGATTCCCCATTAGCCAACTATTTTCCAGTAGTCATCTTGTTGCCAAACTTTATGCAAATGCAATGGCTCAAATCTTTGCCTGTACCCCATTCCTGCAAAAAAGATTTCATGTATTTTGTGGCCAAGCTTTGTTTTGTTTCCTAATTTTAATATATGCATGCTTTAATGCAAGGGAGGGAGAGCCTTGGCGCAACATTTCCAAACGTTGCTCCTTGTCACCCCAATTTCCGACAGCCGGACTGTAGAATTTTCCCGGCATGGTTCATGCTTGACAATGACGATTACTTCAGCAAAACATCGGCCACAAACTGTGATGCAAACAATGTTTCCAGTCTTCTATTTGAATGCAATGTGAGAGAGCAGAAAATACGGGAAATACATTACGACAACAACAATGTACTTTCAAATGTTTGATCGAGAGGATGAAGAGATGAGTATACAAATTAACTAGAAGTCATCAAGAAATTAGGTACCTTGGATACAAAAGAACATCATCAACATACAAACCGCCGGAGCAGAAAATATAGTTTCTGTAGATCCGTTGGCTAGAAAGATTCATAGTTCTGCCCTAAAACCGGCTATTATTGGGAAAGGAAATGATACCCTTCCATGTATTTGTGCTTAACAACAAATATTTCTTGGTGCCCCAAATCTCTCAAGATTCGAGTTAAAAAGGAGGAGAAAACTAAAACAACTTACAAAATTATTTTAGGTCCTTTGCTGCTTTATCTGGTAATACATTATCGGGAAGAATAAGTTCTGGGGGAATCTCACGAACAACACCCAGCATTGAGTCGTACTCCTCATCCTTATGTGCATACTTCTTGCGGAGGGCCTTCTCAAACTCAATCTCATCAAACGACTTCACATTCTCAGCTGCATGGACTTGTGCAAGGTTAGTGTAATTGGTGGCTGACTGGGAGATGAAGGCTTTTTCTTCATCTGTGAGCTTCCTCAGGAATTTTGCTGGGTTTCCTGCCCATACCTGTAATACAAATGCATTTTACTGCTTACTCTAAATTCATGTGAAACAAAATTATCAATAACAGTTGACGGTCTTGGACCGCATAAATAAAAGCTTAACTTAGCCTGCCTGGATAAAGCTGAGTCCGGAATCGTAGCATACAATTCCAAGCTGATAATATCATTAATAAGGGTTTTCTCTTTGTTTGGATTGCAGTACCTACGTTTTTATAGTAAGAGGATGCTTGACACCAGTCCTATCAAAATAGTTTATGTCCCTACACATTTATTTCTAAAAGGGAAATCAAACAACAGACGTTTACTGCTCAAATAACTCAACTTCTTTAAACAGAGGGTGGAAAATTTGAAACTCCACCGCCGCCACCACACACACACACATAAAACGTAAAGAAAAATAAAATAAAAGAAATAACAAGCACTCTGCTCCAGCCATTCCCGTATCACTTTATATCGATCTACTTGAACTAGGTATTATTGGTGAGCTTATTAGAAAGGGTTTTTTGATAACTCTGCTTTTAGTCTATCTCGGCACAATCATAATTCAAAGAATTTCAGATTAATACAATCTTCTCTGACTGCCAGGACGAGCACGAACAGAAGAAATATAATAAAATTTTAGATAACTGATTTCTTATTTATTTTGTTGGATCCAAAGTAAGAACATGTTTTAGGATCAGCAATTTGGAATCTGGCTGGATAGTGGTAACAACAACAGATTCAAATTCTAAGCTATTTTTTCTACGTGTGTTAAGACTCCCAATATCCTTTGCATATAAATTGCTAAAGAGGGTCAGCAGGTAGGCTTTTTACACATACCTCTCCACTAGGGATCCTTGTATTCTGTCTCACCAGGGATCCAGCAGCTACCATGGCATGTTTCTCAACAACGACACCATCAAGAAGAGTGGCTCCCATACCAACAAAGGCCTCATCCTCAACAGTACAGCCATGTATAACGGCACTGTGACCTGCTCAATGCAAATTTTTGTTACACAAATTATAAAAATTTATTCAGCACTACAATCAGGCAAATTCGAGTCGAACATATCCTTGACCGCATAATTACTCACCTACAGTAACATTGTCTCCAATAATAGTGGGTAACGCCTTCCCGCTTAAATTAGACTTCGCCACATGAACAAGGGAGTTGTCCTGTATGTTCGTTCCAGATCCAACAACGATGTTGTTCACATCACCTATGCAAAAATACATTATTTTTTGTTACAAATTATTACCAAAATCCACTATAAAATAGCCCTAAAAAACAATTACATCTCATATCCAGCTAAATTGACAAGAAACCAGAATTCTCCACAGATAACTAATCAACTGTTAGTACTCAGGTACTACTCTTACCATTGCTAACCTCCGTATACAATGAGAAACGGGGCACAACTGTATAAAGTTTAAACTATGAAAAAGACAAATCAGAACAGCAACAGTGCATATTCTCCCAATAAAATGTACATATAATCTGAATATTACTCCTAGTTTCAACTCTAAACTTGACTATACATGCACAGATGTTTAGGTGTAACAAATCCACGATTTCTGCAAAGTGCATCAGTAACAAATATGCACAGATGTTATGAGAAATATATGTACTTGAAATCTAACACAGAATAAAGGTTAAAGAGGTTCTAGATATGGATAACATCAAGCACAAATCATCAGCTCATGGACCAACAAAAAGGAAAAAAACAGCATAAAAAGAGTGGCCTTTCTTCCAAAATTCCCATGCTACTTAGAACTCATGTATACATCGTATTAAATGAAATTTGTATATGACTGTGTCTGAAAAGAAGTTCTTACCTCTCAAAACACATCCATACCAAATGGAAGACCCTCTTCCCACTTGAACATCGCCAATGACGGAGGCACTTGGTGCCACAAACACATCTTTGTCAACCACAGGAGCTTTATCGAATACGTTCATCAGAGTTCTATGTCGAGACACTACAGAAAAGAACATAATCACTTTCCTCATGCATAGAAAAAAGAAAGCACTTCTCAAAAGAAAAAAAGAAAGCAAAACCCGAAAACCCTGAATCACCCATGTAAACAAACTAAGAATGCACTATACTGGCAATGTATTAGCTTTTCAAAAATAGGTGAACCAAACTACAATGCTGGTTATAAAAAAATTTCCATTTTCGTTTTCTTCATTTCCTCCCCTCCTCGACCATGAAACTTTGAGCTTTATGGTTTGACTGGCTACACACACGCAGAAAGGCCACCACTTTACCACCGGAACGACAGGCCCAATCATTTCCATTACTCAAAACTACTCCACAAAATTTCATTTCACATAAATGATAAAATATTTAGGGACCCCTTTTTACTTCTCACACACACTTTGTTAAAATTTCTGTTCTTTGATATTCTTCAATTCATCCTATCTGACGGTCAAAAAATGGAAGGGTGTGAGAAGTGAAAAGGGGTGTGGATGTCACACCCCAATATTTAACGATTCCAAGAACCCCCATTTAACAAAATTTTCAAATTAATGTTGGGTTGATAACAATCTGCTAGTGAGAACACACACATTCCTAGATACATGACTATCTAATTCTGCAATTGCCTATCAAATGAAAAGCAAAGCCCTAAACTTTATGCTAATTCTACAGCTTCGATGTCGAAATCAATACGAAATGCGAACCAAACATCCCCTAAATTACCAAAATCATAAAAAATAAATCAAATCCGAAGTTAAGAGATTGAGCTAAAAGATGGGATCTAGGGTTCGAGAGAAAGGGCTTAGGCTTACGCTGCTCTTTGAAGTAGTAGCTGCCCTGGAGGCTGCTGCCGAGGCGATCAATGGCCTGGCCCGTCTCCCGAATCCAGAATCCGACGGTGTATATTGCTCGTCCTAAAGTCCCCATCTTCTTCTCACTTCCTCCGCCAGCTACCACCAGCCCTCTGCTCACTGCCACTCTCTCTGACTCTCTGTTGTGTGATTTGAAGCAGGCCGGAGAAACGAAGGTATTGGCCCAAATTGGAAGGGTTAGGGTAGAATATCCCAAAGCCTAGGGAGGGTATTAAAGGGATTTTAACCTTCTTTTGTTAAATTACCAAAGCATCCCCGGTTTCAATTTAATGCCAAAGTATGGTTATTGTCCTTCATCTTGGTTAGTCTAGTTTAATCATTTCGGTTCTTGTAGTTTAAATTATAGTGATTTTTCAACTGAGTTCAACCTAATATCTATCACTACCATCACGAGGTGATTCAGTAGTTGGGAATAAATATCAAGCCCGTACTTCACACGGTATATCCTGAATTCGATTCTTTGCGTTGGTAATTATGGCTACTGTGAGTCTTCCTAATCCCCCAAAAAATAACTTGTTGTGATAAGGCCCAAATGACCGTTGTGTGGATGAATAACATCAATTAGGGTTAGTTTGGAAGTGCTGTTAAAATGATTGAAAGCGTGCTTGGTAAAAATGTTTTTGAAAATAATGCACGTGAAAAAGAGTTTTCAGTCTTTTTATTTTTTGAACAAACAATATTATCTACACTAAATAGGAGGGGGTGGGCTTAGCCTCACTATAGGCTAGCAATAATATGGTTCAAACTCGCATTTGGTGAGAATCGAACCTAAGACCTCTCACTTACAAATGAAGAGAAATACCACTAGGCAGTAGTACTAAATAACTTTTAGTCATTTTAAATATACTGTTCAAACTAGCCTTCAAATATATCTTTAGAGAAAAGGAGATCCTCTCCCTAAAAACTGAGCAAAGGCCTTTAATTAACCGCCAAGCCCAACGGCCATTTAAAGGACGCGGTTAATTTGTCAAACACGAAGCTGTGCGTTTCGATGCCTTTAACCGCGCGCACGCAATTGAGGGCTAGCGTGCTATGTTATGTTCTTCACCCTTTTGATTTTCACCGGCCTCAAGTAGTGAATAAGCTTACAAAATTCATCTGCTTAGAAATTTGGATTTAACAATTTGATTCTCTCATCTGATCCAAACACACTTTGAAAGGTAAAGACTTTTTCCTATCTTTCTATTTTTCTTGAACTAAATTATTGGTTTTTATGGAGAATTTTCAAAATTTTCCATTTTTAATCTCGTTTTTCCTTTGAAAATTGTTTGATTCCGATTTGGGTTTGAGAGATTATTGGGGTTTTGATGAACCAATGAAATGTGAATTGATAAATCCGAATTGGTGATGCTCTAGAGATGATTTATTTTCTCGGGAACCAAACAGAATCTAGTATTTTGAGTTGGGTCATTGCTTTTGATGCTCAGGAAAATCGGAGGCTAATTTTTCATGGAAGGAGTTGGGGGCGGCGATGCTGGCTCGGCGGTGGCGCCGTTGGCGAAGTGGAGGGACGAATTTTCAAGGGCATTTCAGTACTACTTGGACCGGTCGACCCCGAATCCGGTTCACAGATGGCTGGGGACTCTTGCCGTGGTGGCGGTTTATGTGCTCCGAGTTTACTATGTTCAAGGGTTCTACATTGTGTCATACGGCCTGGGAATTTATATCTTGAATCTGTTGATTGGGTTTCTGTCACCAAAGGTTGATCCGGAGCTCGAAGCGTTGGACGGGGCTTCGCTGCCAACCCGAGGTTCGGATGAGTTTAAGCCGTTCATTCGCCGCCTTCCCGAGTTCAAGTTCTGGTAATTGAGGAACTTCCTTAGTGAAATTGTGAGAGATAGTTGCATTGTATATGTATTTTCTATGGGGTTTTGGGTGTGATCTAAAGTAGGTGTTGTGGCTAGTTTAAAATGTTTGAGTAGCACTTATATGAATGCTACTTTTGATCACACCAAAAAAAAACCCGCCTTTTTGATCCCGGGTTTTTTTGGTATGATTGAAAGTAGGTGTTGTGGTTAATTTAAAATATTTGAGTAGCACTTATATGAATGCTACTTTCGATCACATAAAAAAAAACCCGCCTTTTTGATCCCGGGTTTTTTTTGTGTGATTGAAAGTAGGTGTTGTGGCTAATTTAAAATGTCTTGGCTACTTTTATGTATGCTTTTAAAATGTGTGCACTTGTATGGATGGTAGAAGTGTGAACTTAATATGAAGCTTGATAAGTCAACAGGATCTTTTAGCATCAACATGGTTCCACTGATGGCACCTCATCGAGAACAGAGTGTAAAAGAGATGGAGGATAACGGGGTCCTTCATGAAGCAGCTCACGATAGTGCTGAATGGAAGTTGGGATTGAGTGAATAACTTCAGCAGTCGAGATTGTTCTTTCTCGATTTGAAAATAGTCATTGCACAAACGCATTGTTTACCGTAACATATACGTTATTGCAATTAATGTGTGCTTGTATCTGTTCAGTTTTATGACTGCTAACTGAGACTCAGTAATTTATTCTCTTGCTTATGTGGTTTCAGGTATTCCATTACAAAGGCTTTCTGTGTCGCTTTTCTGATGACCTTCTTCTCCCTGTTGGATGTCCCCGTTTTCTGGCCCATTCTCCTATTTTATTGGGTCGTTCTTTTTACTCTTACAATGAAGCGCCAGATAATGCACATGATTAAGTACAAATATATACCGTTCAGCATCGGAAAGCAGGTGAGAGCGCTACAATGTTGTTCAGCCACCATTTACCTTTTTTACCCTAAAGCAGGATCAATTGTATTGTTGAGAGTTTCCTTAAGTTCAACATTTTTACTCGTTCCCTTTGATTATTACAGAGGTATACAGGGAAGAGATCTGATGCAGCGAACTCAGACTGAAGCTTTGGTCGAATCAGCGTTTAGGAAAAGTGAACGAAAGAAGTGCAGTGTTTGAATGTTTTTATTTTTTCTGAAAACTTTACTTGTTAATACTCGCAAAATTCATAGATATGTTTGAATTTTTCTCACTATTAGGATAATTTGCTTACTATTAGGACTTAATGAGGGGTGAAAACTTGCATAAATTGATAATTCTCACTTGTCATTAACCTGTATGATATTTACCTGTACTTTCGTTCTTCTTCCGCTTTACTTGCTGCTGAATTACTGAATGCCATGTTTTGAGTATATTATTGTTGTGCATTAATTAAATCGTGGTGTTAAGCAAGCGGGGCTGCGGGGTTATGATTACCAGGTGGACTTGGGGAGAGTCTTAGGGTTTGTGAGATGCCAGATAGATGTCCAAATCATGCACCTAATATGCATAACAACCCTCCACCAACTGAACAACGAAATCACACACTGCAGTTTTTATTTTATTGCTTGACTTTTGTATTATCGAAACCCATAAGCAAACAATTCTTGTAAATTAAGCTTAGTGTTTTATTTTAATCACATAATTAATTAGGCAATGGCCAGCTAATAGTGTTCGTGGTCTCCTCTACTCTATCCTCTCTCTTCTTTCTTCTTTCTCTTGCTGCATTCCATTCCTTCTCTTAAACCCCTCGAATTGAAACATAATATTCTGTCTCTCCAATTGAACCGGGTTTTCTCTCTGCTCCACCCCCGACGGGCAACAAATGAGTGGGAGAACCTATGTTGTGATATTCTTCTTCTGGGCTGCTCTTACTGTCATCACCCCCACACTCGTTTTTCTTTCAGAGACTTCCAAACCGTACTTGGATTCAAATGGTAAGAAGACTGAGTTATGAACATTTTGTTGTACCCTTGGATTTCTCGTACTTTGAAATTGTTGTAATCTATTTTGCTTTGTGTTTGGCAGGTGAGGAAATTGAAGGAACCAAGGGTAGAAGACTGATTGGAATCGTAGGATATGAATCACAACGTCGACCACGAGTTCTGCCAACTACGGAAGCCCCTACAGCATCACCATCACTGGCGCAAGCTCCAGTTTCGGAACTAAAACCAGGTTTGAAGCACAGAGAAACCAGTCTTGTAAAGGTCTTTATAGAGTCATTGAGATTTGTGATCAACAATACTAAGTTCAAGTTAAATTAAGGCGGAGTCGGAGTCAGATTCTTATAGGATTTTAGGTTAGGTTGTTCTTCGTGCATAAAAGCTACTTCAGAGACAAAGCTCGCACTTTTCGGTATGAGCCTCTCTGATCATCTTCGGAAGAAAAATGTAAGTGTGACATGTCAATACAAGGAAGAGAACTGCACTGGTTTTCCTGTAAAATGTATGTTTATTTCGTTTTCTAAACGTTGAGGGGGAATGAAACGTTAGATTAAGAGCTAGTTGGTTGTTTTTCCTGATGTTAGTTGTACCGAAAGGTAAGGAAAAGCATAAGCTGAGGGAACATCATATGTGAGCGAAGACATTGAATAATGGATGTTTTCTTGTCATTATATAAAGTTATATAAAGTTGAAGAGACATTGTGGTACGGGTTGTCTCCTAAGCAAGCAAGACACAGTTCAACTCATAATTTGCTGAGGACCAATTTTAAACTTGCTTGTAATGTAAGGATCGATTGTGTAGTAATATAAATGTGACCACAACTGACTTTTGTTCAATTTAAAATTGGTAACAGATGTTATTTAGTATTACGATATAGTGATATTCATTTCTACTTGTAAGTGAGAGGTATTAGGTTCGATTTTTGTGAAAAATGAATTTGAACCATATTAATATGGTTATCTGAGTGTGAGACTTAGATTTAGATCAAATAAAAATGCAAAGGCTAAGATGTTCCCTAGCCGATGTAGAGTCACAACTAATTCCTATTTTTTAAATAAAATGGTACCCCTTCCCTTAGAGAGAGAGAGAGATATATATATATATATATATATATATTTTTTTTTTTAACTGTTAGATTTGACTTTAATGAAATTCTGTGGTTGAGATTCTGTGACTTGTAATTTAATCTCAGTTACATAATTTCATTAAAGTTAAATCTAATGGTTAAGATGAAGTCTCCATTTTTTTTGAAAAATAGGAATTCCTTCCCTTAAAGAGTATGTGTGTGTGTATATATAAACCTAAGTAGTCTCACATTGAATGCACATGTTCAAAGTCGATCGGACAGGAATAAAAGGATGTTATGATGACTTGTATGAGCTGAAAGCATTGTCACGTAACAGTTTAAAGGATAATGTTAAGAAAATTAAATTTTGTAAATTAAATTTGTAAACTAAATAATGTAATTGTTGATGATTGGATTATTACTTAAACATTGATTAACGTACTTATTTCTTATTGGTGATACATCATTTGATTTGTAAATTTAATTTAAAATTTTGATCTCTCTAGCATTATCTCAATTTAAATATGCATGTGCCTATACTTGACTATGCAAACAACACTAGTCAAGAGCAATTTAGATCAAGAAAAGCCAAACCTAAAACTATATCCTAGGCTTAACAAAATTAACATCCATTACTATTTAAACTCAAGGTCTTAATTTAACCACAGCTAACTTTGTTCGTGTGACATGGGGGTCAATGTACAAGTGCTTGCTTTCGCGTGTCAATATGCCACCGAGGTCGTTACCATAATTATTACAAGGAAAAATGAGAGGGAAGAAAAGACTAAGACATTTTTCACATTGACTAAGACCAGTGTGATGTCGTGTGGAAAAACATACAAAGGATTTCATGTTTTTATGAGATCATGTAACTTAGTGTTTGTGCGTTTGGCCACGAAGCATCATTTTGGTAACGATTACAAAAGAAAAGAGATACCTTGTATAAGGTTGTCAAATACATATAATTTCATATTTTTGTAAAAAATGTTTTATGTTAAATACTCAAAAGATTTTGTAACTTATGAGTTCATGCTGGTTTGCCTAGTGAGAGATTTTGGATGCAGCCGGGGATATTATGGAGGTAGATTGTTTGCTCTGTTGTTTGGGTGCCATTCTCATCCCTTCTTATTTTGTGCAGTCACGGTTAAGCCATGTCAACATTTTATATTACTTTTTTATTATAAAGATAATAAGACAAAAAACAATAAGAATATAAAATATTGATGTGACTTAACCGTGATCGCACAAATATAATGAAATAAGAAAGGCACCTAAACAGGAGGACTAGCAATCTGCCTCCAATATTATATATATAATCAAACCCAACACACAAAACACTGTTCATTAACAGTGTTCTTCCTTTTTTGCCCTTGCTTGGTTCTTTTATTTCATTTCTGCCTGATTTGCACGTGTCGTTCATCGCTTTTGGGAAGGAAACTGAAAAAGTCGGGTCTTTCCATTTGCTTCTGGTACGTTCTTCTTCCTCCTCTCTTCACTTTTGCTCTTCGCTTTCTATCTGCAACCTTAAAACTCTCAAACCACAAGCCAACCATAACCAAACCCTCCTCAACTCTTCTTTCTCCCTTCTCTCTCTTTCCTCTCACTTTTATCTCCGTGATACACTTAATAGAAAGTGTCGTACGGCGGCGATTTCGACGATTCCGGCAACGGCCGGCCTCGACGTTGGTCTCAAACGGTTGCTCTTCACATCAGGTAGCTTGTAGACCTATTGCAGGTAAACGTCTGCTTCAAATTTCTAGGTTTTTAGTAATTTTTCATGCTTTTGTAAAAAAATTCGTTTAAATTTTTGGATTTTGGAAATATGTGATTTTTGTACTTTTAATGGATTTTGTTGTGTTTTTTTGGAGTGTCTGAGGAATTGGGTTTGGGGTTTTTGTTGGTGATTTGTAGGTTTACGGAAGTGAATCCAAAGGGGAAGGTGCCTGTGGACCTGCGGTGAAGTTTGATGACAAATGGGTGGCGGATTCTGATGTCATTGTTGGTTCTATTTTTATTCATCTCTCCAATTGGTTCTTTTTTTATTCTCACCAACTTTTTTGTCTAATATTATTTGTTTCATTTTTTTGGTGACTTTTGTAGAAGGGACCTTCGCCAAGGTGAAGTATCTAAACATGAATCGCAACAGTTAGCTTTGATTCATGTTCTACATTTTTTTTTGTGTCTAATATTATTAAAAGATGATTCAACTTTTTTGCATAAAATTGCATCAGTTTATATAAAGATGAGATACAGATGAACTCATTGCCTGTCTACCCCTACATATATTTTATATATATATATATATATATATATTTATTTATTTGGTCGTTCAACCTGGTCTTTTAAATCCTCCAACTACATTAAAGATAGAAATCTGTCTATGTTTCACAAACCAATTTACGTAACATGTTTTTTTTTTTTCCTTCTTTTTCATCTCCCTTAATAAGTATTGTTTAATAACACTAAAATCTCTTGGTTGTAACAACCAAAGAAGCCAGTTAGATTTTCCTTCATTTTGATACGTAGGAATTCAAACCTTTTTCGGTTTTTAGTATCTTCACATATTTCAGTTTTTTTAGTTTCTGTGTATATATACTCTGTTTTGCATTCTTTTATTGGTTTTGAAACTACAAGTGAATATATCAGAAGACTACCAACCTTCTATAAAATGGTTCCAATAATATAATTTTGTATATAATACTCTTAAACTATCTTTTACTAACTTTTCTTACACAATCGCGGTAGGTCATGCTATTCAGAAAGTGGTTTAAAGGGTTCCAAGAGCTTGAGTCACCCAATTTCTCGTTTTCATGTAAAAATTCTTTCAAAAAGCTCAAACATCTTTCTATCCAAATAACATTAACTGTCTCTAACAATCTCTTATCCCTTTGAATCATAATTTTTCATACAGTTTCTAATCCCGCAGCAACGCGTAGGTACTATTTCTAGTATATACCTATATCTCAACGTATCATCCGGTTGTATGGTAGAATCTCCCAGTCCACCCCAAAAATGTTACTGTTTTTAGTTATAAATCTACATACTAGGAAATCTCAAAGTGTTTGACATCTCTGAAAATCATAAACCACAAATGTGCAGGAGAACATAGAAATTACATTAAAAAACTATTAGTATTAACGGCACGTGAAAGAGTTTGAAATTATTACAATAATATATATAGGGAAGGGAAGTTTCAAACTCAGATACATGTGTAGAAACCTAACATTCCATCTACTAGGATATAGAAATTGCATTAAAACTACGTAAATTTTGTTCCCATCACAAACACTCTTCAGCTCAAACAACATTAACAACATTTAAATTATTTTTTCTGAGTTGTTAAGCAAATATCTTAGCAGAAGGCGTGTGATCTTAATTTCTTCAAACAAATTGATCGAGGTACTCGTCCACAGTTGTGTACTTCACATCAGGGTAGAGCTCATAAGCTTCGACTCCAAACGACGGCTCGATTTCGAAGTTGGTCTGATCTCCCTTCACAAACACTGAGTGGTTGATTGCTAATATCACATTGATTGGAGTTGGGGCCTCTGCAAAATTAAACAACAAATGTTAATTAACCAGATCATGATTAATTACTGCAGGAATCTTATAGCACAGTTGATTAAGAGCGTTCGCTCATGCGCTCCAGATCCTAAGTTTGAATTCCTTCCCTTCCGCTATTGTTTGTACAGAAAAATGCATGGTTACTTACTGACCTTCAATATCCTTGAGAACTTTGTCCTCTGGGACATAGACTTTTTCAAGGACTTTGCCAATCTTCTTCTCCCACAGGGCAACAAGCCCATTGAATGAGTAGATGTTCTGGGGAGGTTTCACGTAGAGGATCTTGTTCAATGTTCTTGGATCATCAACGGCCCTGATTGTATAGGTTGCAATGTCATCTTCCTTGTTAAAGACAGCTGCAACATTAACAAAAGATACAGAGCACGTTTGAGACTGCTTCTGAAATAATTGAAGCGGTTGCAGACAACTAAAAGCTATTTAATATAAAACACTTAAAAATTCTTATGAATCATAAAACCTTATAAAAAGGTACCAAACAAGTACTTTCTTCATAAAGAACTCCCATGTGCCTTTTCAAAAACAACTTAATTAATTACTAATCTCGCTTATGAACAGAAGCGCTTTCTACTAGAATTAACGCGAGTGGTACCTTTAGGATTTCCATCCCCTAAGATGGTGACTTTGTCTCTGGGTGGAGAAGTGGAACCTGGCTGTGCCAATGAGGACAGAAAGTAGCCAGCATAGAAGTTGTTGTTGACATAAGTGTAGGGAATGCCCTCAGCCTCAACAGCACGCCGGATTTGGACCTTGACGTCAAACGTAGACTTGGCTGGCTCAACCGCATGCACTCGATCCACATCGTTTCCAAACTCCGACGGGAAAAATCTCTGCATAAGATATAGGCTGTTACTATTAATCCCCATGGTTGAACAAATCTTTACTTTAAAAACCCTAAATTAGAAGGAAAAAAGAAAATTGAGTCTGTGACCAGTCTAATAATTCCAAGTCTTCTGTTTATCTTCATGTAAATTTCATCTAAATATTGATAGTACTAATCAAGACAGGATATGTAGATGGTAGGTAACATGTCAATATTAGATAGTCAAACATGTCACGTGATCAGACAGCCTAACTAACGTTTGCCCAGTTACTTGGAGACACTAACCTTGACATTGCCAGCTTCTTTGATGGCTGCAATGATCTTGGTTTGGTCTGCAAATTGCTTGAAACCCACCGTTGATATCACAACGTCCACCTGTTTGATCGCCTTCACCAAACTCTCATGGTCATAAAGATTTCCCTGCATATTAATCACCATAATTAACTACGTACATAATTAATTAAATTAAACACAAATAGAGATTAATATGCGTACGTAGAGCAAAGTGACACCCAAGTTCTTAAACTTCTCAATGAGGTTAGCCTTAGAAGGGTCGTTGACCGTGCTTCTAAGCAGAGCAAAGGTTGGATGGCCGGCCTTCGTCGCCTTACCAGGGTCGTTGCCCGTGGTCTCTCTAATCAAAGCGAAGGTCGGATGGCCGGCCTTCGCGCTCGCTTGAACGATAAACTTTCCGATGTAGCCAATACCTCCGATGATCAAAACCTTGCTCTTCTTAGCCATTGAAATTTTAAAGAAATTATCAAATTCTTCTTCTTCTTCCTAGTTTTTTCTTGTGTGAATATTTTTGAAGTTGTGAAGTGAATAGAAGTAGTATGAGCACATTTTATGGACGAATTATATAATATAATAGTATATCATGCTTCTAGGTGGGAAAGAATATGGTGACAAATTTAAAATGCGGGATTGACTGTTCACTTTTTTTTTTTTTTTGGCCCCTTTATTATTGGACTTCATGAGAAGTGTAATGATAGGGTTAGATCTCACAACAAATGTGAATCTTATTTTTATTAAAAAGGTGGTTAAATAAAGTATAAAAAATGCAGCAAGAGTAATATTTTTGTTATGAAAATATTCTTTATCTTCTTACCTACCATAGGATAGGAACAGGTACAAAGGTATTGGTTCAAGATTCCATTTTAATTGTTCTTATATTAATACTAGTGCTAAATTGGATTAATTGTACCTCTAGTAATAAGGTAACCGGAAGATAGTTCACGTGATGAAGTTTGTTAAAATTTAAGCTCAAAATTAAAATTTTCATCAACGCTCCATTAACTTATTCAGCCTTCATAATCAAAAGAGATGTGGCTGCTATTTGGCAGGGGATGTTTGCCTAGGTTCACACTTGGATGCAGATAACGAGTTCAATAATGGAACCTAAACCCATGAAGCCTAGACTCTATTTAAAAGGAAAAGACTTGGCTGCTGAAGAATTCAGCAACAGGTCTACTTACATCCAATTCTGGTTGGATACGTGTTCAAGTTTTGATTTTTTTTTTAATCAAACTTGGACACGTATCCAATCGGGATTGGATGTAAGTAGGACCTGCTGCTGAATTTACAGCAACCAAATCCAGTTCTATTTAAAATAGGAAGTGTTATTGAAATTCCAAAAATCTCATTCTACACTCCTCATAAGTGTATTTTTCTTTCTTAGTATAAAAAGTTTGGAGTGTAGAATAAGATTTTTAAAGTCCTAATAACAATTTCTTTTAAAATTTCCAAAGATGTTTTGAACATTGAATGTCCAACGTTCGCATCTTTCTCTTGCCGATTATCCACGGCGGTTTTCTTCCCAGAAAACTGCTCCACTCCTGCGAATTTCTTTCATTAAAAACCCTAGAGGGGCTGGAAGTTTCTCGACTTTTCCTTCCGTTTCCACTTTTCTGTCACAAATCTCTGCTTCAATCGGCTCGCAAATTTCTGCCAATGGCTGTTTTTCTTGCCTAAGAAACCCTGAAGGTTTATTTTTGATTCAGCTTAAATTTAACTTTTCTTAAAGCCATTGGATTCGCTTAAATTTAATAGGGACGGGTCACAGTAGATCAGCTCAACCGAGCTTGGGTGAAATCGAGTGATAAATGACTTGTCATTAATGTCTCTTTCTCTCTCTCTGTACCCCTCCCTCTTTCTTTCTCATCTCTCTGCTTCTCTCGATCACTCTCTTGCAAATAGATCACAAACCACCACCAACCCTGCTCCATCTTTGTTGTCACGTCACAGACCATCACCACAATCCGACTACCATCGATAGCCCAGCCCAACTTCCTCTCCATCTCCTCCAAACTGTGTATTTTTGACACTCAATAAGCTTTTGGTCTTTTGAGTACTCATTGTTATAGTCCTAGTAACGCATTATATGTGTTTATTTACTTAAGTTTCACAGGATGTCAAGTTCATGCTTGTTTGATCCCATAAATGCTAAAAACAGTCATCTTCCATGTCCCATCTACCTCTTCCAAAACCCAAAAAACTCAACAAAATCAAATCCCTAGACCAACAAAAGCAAAACACACCCCCAAAAATTGGATAAAGACTCTGCAATTACAATTGTTGCCCTAACTGCAATAATCTCTTTATCTTTAAAGTCATCCCCCAATTGCAATACTCGACTATGACTTCCACCTCCGCCGGCGGCGACTGCGGCAAGCTAAATTCCGACTACGAATAAAGAACAAGAAGAGAAAAACATATGAAGAGATACTCCGTATAAGGAAGTTTGATTATAATAGCTCTCACACTAAGTACGATTACTGTAGGGTCGGATGAGACCAAAATATAAATGATCTCATAAAAGGGTAATTCGCGGATTATATGCTTAGAAGATTTAGCAAGTCATGAGCTCATGATGGTTGTACGGTAGAGTCTCCCAGTGTAAATCATAACCAGCCACAAATGTGCAGGAAAAACATAGAAATTACATTAAGACTCTGTGAATTTTGTTCTCATCACAAACACTTATTCGCTCAAACAACATTAACAGCATTTAAACTTATTTTTTTACGAGATATTTAGCAAACATCTTAGCGAAAGTCCTGTGATCTTAATTTCTTCAAACAAATTGATCGAGGTACTCGTCCACAGTTGTGTACTTCACATCAGGATAGAGCTCATAAGCCTCGACTCCAAATGACGGCTCGATTTCGAACTTGGTCTGATCTCCGTTCACAAACACTGAGTGGCTGATTGCTAATATCATATTGATTGGAATTGGGGCCGCTGCAAAATTAAACAACATACGTTAATTAACCAAATCTTGATTAAAGTTAAGTTAAACGCAGTTAAGTTGAACCAATACATGATTAATTACTGCATGAGAGGCTTATAGCACGGTCGATTAAGAGCATTCGCTCATGCACTTGAGATCCCGAGTTTGAACTCCTTCCTGTTCTCTATCGTTTGTATAAAAAATGCATGATTAATTACTGACCTTCAATATCCTTGAGAAGTTTGTCCTCTGGGACATAGACTTTTTCAAGGACTTTGCCAATCTTCTTCTCCCACAGAGCAACAAACTCATTGAATGAGTAGATGTTCTGGGGAGGCTTCAGGAAGAGGACCTTGTTCAATGTTCTTGGATCATCAACGGCCCTGATTATATAGGTTCCTATGTCATCTTCCTTGTTAAAGACAGCTGCAACATTAACAAGAGATACATAGCATGTTTGAGACCGCTTCTAAAATGGCTCAAAACGGTTGTAGACAACTAAAAGCATTTATAGCACTATTTAATATAAAACACTTAAAAAGCTTATGGATCGTAAAACCTTTTTTAGTATTGCCTAGAGAGGCACCTAACAGGTACTTCTTCAAGAAGAACTTTCAGGTGCCTTTTCAGAAACCACTTGGTTAATTACTAATATCGTTTATGAACATAAGTGTAATTTTTCTGAAATTAACGTGAGCGGTACCCTTTGGATTTCCATCCCCTAAGATGGTGACTTTGTCTCTGGGTGGAGAAGTGGCACCTGGCTGTGCCAATGACTGCAGAAAGGAGCCAGCAAAGCAGTTGCTGGAGACATAAGTGTGGGGGATGCCCTCAGCCTCAATAGCACGCCGGATTTGGACCTTGGCGTCAAACGAAGACTTGGCTGGCTCAACTGCTTTCACTCGGTCCACATCGTTTCCAAACTCCGACGGGAAAAATCTCTGCATAAATACTATTAATCCTCATAATTGAGCAAAACTTGAGTCGGACTGTCTGATAATTCTAAAGTCTCATGATCAGACAACCTAATCGAAGATTTCTTGGTTAATTAGAGACACTAACCTTGATATTGCCAGCTTCTTTGATGGCTGCAATGATCTTGGTTTGGTCTGCAGTTTGCAAAAGACCCACCGTCGATATCACAACGTCCACCTGTTTGATCGCCTTCACCAAACTCTCATGGTTATAAAGATCTCCCTGCATATTAATCACCGTAATTAACCAAGTAACATAACATAATTAATTAAATTAAACACAAAGAGAGATTAATATGCAATTAAACACTAAGAGAGATTAAATGCTTACATAGAGCAAAGTGACACCCAAGTTCTTGAACTTCTCAATGAGATTAACCTTAGCAGGGTCGTTGACTGCGGTCTCTCTAACCAGAGCAAACGTCGGATGCCCGAGCTTCGTGCTCGCTTCAACAATAAACTTTCCAATGTAGCCAGTGCTTCCAATTATCAAAATCTTGCTCTTCTCAGTCATTGAAATTTCTAAGAATTATCAAATTCTTCTTTTTTTTTTCCCTAGTTTTTTCTTTTGTGTGTATTCTCACAGTTGTGAAGTGAAGTAGCTGGAGCGCATTTTATGAACGAAATTACAAGGTGACAAATTGAAATAGTGGACTTGATTGTTCACCTGTTTTTAAAAATTTTAATCGTCATTTACTTGACTTTATGTGAATATTTTATTGATCTTACTTATATACTACGTGAAAAGTTAGTATTACCCTCGTCAAGCTGTTCAAAAAAGGGGTTAGAGAATGGCAGTGAGGGAATTTTACACTTATGTTGTATCAAAGACCCCTGAAGTGATCCATACGTCATTGTCGTTCTAGAACCCAAATGAACATCGTCGGGATCACCGTAATGTTCATAATTTAAAAAAAAAATCAAAGACCTCGTATGATAGTATTTTATTTTTGTTTTTTTATTTTGTGCGTTTTTTGTTTATATATTTGTCATTTGTCTCTCGTCATTGTTTTTACCGTCTTTTGTGTTTTCTCATTTATCTTCTTTACTGCTATATTATTGACAAATGATATAATTTATATTAACTCATTTCATAGTGGGGTAGTAATAATGTGGCTCAAGTGGACTAGTCTGACAGTGGACTAACAATAATATAATTTAAGTTCTCTTTTGGTGAAAATCGACCCAAATCTTCTCACTTACAAGTAAAAATAAACAATACTAGACTGTACTACCAAACGACCCTTTATTGTCTTTTTAAAATTTTCAACCAAAAGTGAAAAAGAAAAAAGAAATAGGCTTGTGATCTAGTTTCATTTTAGGAAAGCTATTTTAATATTTGAAGATGGTAAGTTATGGAACAAATAAATCACACCAATTTAAAAAAGGCACAAGAGAAATGTTAAGGAAACTCTAAAAAATATGGCTCTTTATGAATTTTTTACCGCATCATATTCAGCATAATCTCTACTAACTAATAAAACACTCATGGTCAACTAAAATTTTATGAAATTACTAATTTAACCTTCTAATTAAAACAGAACATGAATAAGAAATATGGGGCATAAATGTAATTTCACACAACCAAATTTTGTTCTTTTTTTCAAAGTCTTACCTACATGTAATCCTAATATATCTCTAATTAAAAAAAAAAAAAAAAAAACCCACTCCCACTGTGACATCCCACATCGCCCAGGGATATGATCCTTATATGTATATTCTCATCCCTACCTAGCACGAGGCCTTTTGGGAGCTCACTGGCTTTGGGTTTCATGGGAACTCCGAAGTTAAGCAAGTAGCGCGAGAGCATTCCCAGGATGAGTGACCCATCGAGAAGTTCTCGTGTGAGTTCCCAGAAACAAAACCGTGATGGCGTGATCGGGGCCCAAAACGGACAATATCGTGTTACGGTGGTGGAGCGGGCCCGGGAGAATATCGAAGATTTCTTGGTTAATTAGGGACACTAACCTTGATATTGCCAGCTTCTTTGATGGCTGCAATGATCTTGGTTTGGTCTGCAGTTTGCAGGAGACCCACCGTCGATATCACAACGTCCACCTGTTTGATCGCCTTCACCAAACTCTCATGGTTATAAAGATCTCCCTGCATATTAATCACCGTAATTAACCAAGTAACATAACATAATTAATTAAATTAAACACAAAGAGAGATTAATATGCTTACATAGAGCAAGGTGACACCCAAGTTCTTGAACTTCTCAATGAGATTAGCCTTTGCAGGGTCGTTGACCGTGGTCTCTCTAACCAGAGCAAAGGTCGGATGCCCGGCCTTTGCGCTTGCTTCAACGACAAACTTTCCAATAGAACCAGTGCTTCCGATTATCAAAATTTTGCTCTTCTCAGCCATTGAAATGTCGAAAAAATTATCAAATTCTTCTTCCTTTTCCTAGTTTTTTCTTTTGTGTGTATTTTCGAAGTTGTGAAGTGAAGAGAGGAAGCTTGAGCGCATTTTATGGACGAAACTACATGGTGACAAATTGAAATAGTGGACTTGATTGTTCACCGGTTTTTAAATTTTTTAATCGTCATTTATTTGACGTTATGTGAATATTTTATTGATTTCACATATATACTACGTGAAAAGTTAGTATTACCCTCATCAAGCTGTTCAAAAAAAGGGTTGGTGAAGGGCAGTGCCGGAATTTTACACTTTTGTTGTTCCAGAATCAAAGACCCTGAAGTGATCCATGCATCATTGTCGTTCGATAACCCAAACGAGCATCGTCGGGATCACGTTAATGTTCATAATTTTAAAATAATCAACGACCCCGTATGATAGTATTTTGTTTTTGTTTTTTATTTTGTGCGTTTTTTGTTTGTATATTTGTTCTCTATCTCTAGTCATTGTTTTTACCGTCTTTATGTTTTCTCATTTATCTCCTTTACTACTATTTTATTGATAAACGATATCATTTATACTAATATCTTTCATGATAGGATAGTAATAATGTAGCTTGACAGTGGACCAATAATAATGTGGTTTAAGTTCACATTTGGTGAAAATCGACCTCAATCTTCTCACTTACAAGTAAAAAAAAAAAATATTATTAGACTGTAATACCAAACGACCCTTTATTGTCTTTTTAAAATTTTCAAGCAAAAGTGAAAAAGAAAAAAGAAATACGCTTGTGATCTAGTTTCATTTGAGGAGAGCTATTTTAATCTTTGAAGACAGCAAGTTATGGAACAAATAAATCACACAAATTAAGAAAAGACACAAAAGAAACGTTAAAGTGACTCTCAAAAAAATGGCTTTTTATGAATTTTTTAGCGCATCATATTCAACATAATATTTTATAATACCAACACAGAATTTAACATTAAACTGTAAATTGAAAGTTCCTTTTAACCTTCTCAAAACACAATAATCTTAGAGCGAAAGGCTAAGAAAGTGTGATCATGCCATGTTTGTCTGTATTCAATCACTTACAAAGGAATCATTTCATGGAATAAAAAGACAAAGTATCCCAACACGTCATCAAGTTCCGCGAGTCATCTAAAATATAAAAATAATGTGTTCATTTCTCTTTCTTTTGTTATTTTCTTTGGGTTTTTATTTTCTGGTGGAAGGAACATTTGTAGGGCTCAATGATTGTGGAACCGTATAAGGAAATGGATTAGCTCCATATCTTTTCTACCAAATTTTTTTAATTAATTAATCCAAATTTTTAAAATTTGATCAACGATTACAAACAAAAAAATCTTTTTAAAAGTTATAACTTTAATCGTTTGATCAAATTTTAAGAATCGGAATTGATTTATTGAGAAAATTTGGTAAAAAAATTCAAAAATGATCCCTTTCCTATCTTAAAAAGGTGGAATATTTAAAAATGGATAGTGGACGAGATTGTTATCATTACAAACGAATTCTTGCTAAAAATTTTTTTTTAATTATATTATTAATAATTCATTATAAAATAATGCGTACTCCCTTCCCTCCTAATACCTAAGTTCTTCCAACTCTCAAGTTAGACTCAGATAATATCGAATGTATTAACTAAACAATATTAAATCGTTAGCAGACCAAATTATGCAACTACTCAAAAGCGCTAGAAAGAACAAGAAACTTCGCATAAATAAGTATACGTACACAATTTGTACAAGTCAAGATACACAATTATGACTACCAAAAAAACTCGATCTCATAAATCATAAGATCCTCGCAATTTAAACATTGAAAAAAGAAAAGAAAAAAGGTGACGGATCAAACTAGTTGCATAAATAGAAGCCCATGACTGACGGATCAAGCATATGGAACCACTATTATGGGCCGGATTATTGGGCCTCATTGACAAATCAGGTACTAATTTGATCACGGCCGTTTGATTTAGGGGCCCAGCTGTTGGCTACATGAAACTGTGCTGCGTAAGTAGTTTTGGTATCGCCTTCTTCTAATATCGGAGGTTCATTCAGAAATGCCCAATTGCTCGCTGTCCACCTGCATATATGCATCCAATGGTAATTATTTATTTGTTTTTTGTTTTGTTTTGTTTTTTTGTTTTTTTGTTTTTTTTTTTATGTTCTACAAATAAAAGACGTCGAGCGCTTTAAGTTAACGGAATACTTAATGTAAAATTCAAGTTAAGTAACGTTCTAAGATTTATAGAGTAGATCTCACTTAGTAGAACAAGGTTTTGTTGTTATTGTTTTATACAAATAAAAAATTAGAAGATAATTATGAAGATAATTAAACATGTTAATTACCAGCCATTGTTGTTTAAGATTTTTTGAGTCCTAGGGCTTGTTTCAGTATCTGTACTGCTGATCTTTGTTGTGGTCACAGGAAACGAGCTGGATTTCTGGAATCTTCTTCCCGGTTCATCAGCGGTGCTAATTTCCTGCTATGTGTATAATATTGTCAATCTCAATATAAGCTGTGCTAAAATCAGTCGCTCATGCGTACTACGATAACAACATAAAAGGAATTTAATATAACATAAATACCCGGCTGATGCTATTTGATTTCTTGTGTGCTTTCCAGTAAGCTTCAATCTCCTCCTTGGTGAGTGATTTATTCCTCTGAGCTCCTTAAGAATTAAAGATTGTGACCACAATCAGTAACTTGGTTCGCAATTAAGTGAAATAAATAGGGATAAAACACGCGGATTAACTCAGTAATAAGCTACAAATTAATACAAGTAATTGACAGGATTAGGGTTAAATACCTGGCTTGGACCTTAAGACAGGTGAGTCCCATCCTGGCACGAGTGATCCCATTTCTCTTCAAACTATGGTCTTCAATTCAGCTGCTCACTTTGTGTGATTAATATAACGAGAAGTTAATTATTGTATATATACGTGCTGCTTTTTTGACGGTGACTGGGGAGCCAATACATATCTTTTCCTTGTTCTTATCCCCCAATTGCCAAAAGATAATATCTTGTCAAGCTTTTTAGCTAAGACGCAATACCGCTAGCAGCCCACAGGTTTTAGATATAAGGCGGCAAATCCGGATTCATTCCGGATTCTGAGGATTTTAGACAATTGTAAATGATATTTGTTGATTGTATACGTATAATTAGAAATTATTTTAAAATTTTTATTTAAAATTAAATATAAATAATACTGATAAAAATTAATTGTATAATATATAATAAAGAGACACAATTTATAAATTTCGAAGATCATTTCAAAAAGATCCGGATAAAACCTTGTCGGTAAGCGGCAATACCTGAGAATTTTAGATAAATATCACATATATTTGAAGTTTGGAAGTGACACGAGTCAAATAAAGACGTATAACACGCAACCAAGAAAGCCAATTAGTTTTCAGAGTTATCAGCTTCGGTAGCTATCCACTGATCAGCTAGAGGGAGACTTAGAATGTTCGCAACAAAGGTGGTATGTCAGATATTATTTTACAAATAAATAAGAGTTTCTTTTTTTTTTTTTTTTTTTTTTTTTTTAATATCTGTCTACTTCCATTCCCTTTCATTTTTTTCTCTTAAATTTTCTATTTCATCTTTTTTTTAATAAAAAATTAATATAAAATATTGACGTGATTTAATCGTGACCGTTTAAATAAGAGAAAAAGGAATAAGGGAAAAAAAAAAAAAAAAAAAAAAAGAGGAGAGAATCCTATTCTGTGCAAATTGACAGGAATACCGATAAATCCCTCCCTGGAGGATCGATGCAGCCAAAACCAGACTGATAGGGCTTTCTTTTGGAAGGTTTCAACGTAGTACATGCATGCAGTCGTTCATTAGATAAATTTTCTTTACAAAAGTGGTAAATATGTTGTACGTTTGTATAAGGCGGTGAACGATTGGTCTTTGAAAACATGGCCGGCCATATCAAGTTAAGAAGAAAAAACAAATTGATGTATATTTGTCTGTAAAACCAATGAATGAATGTTTTGATACATGGGATCAACAATTTTGCAATTAAATATTTATAAAACTATACATATATTTCCACACAGGAATATTAATTAATTAATCAATTCTTGGTGGAAAATGCCTTCTTCTTGAAACTGTTAGGCGTTGCCCTAATCCAAGCTTTGGCATCAATGGAGTCCTTAGTTATTAAAGGTGCAGCTTCTTCACTCGTTAGGACTCGTGCCCAGTCAACTCTTTTTGATGTCACAGCTCCAGGTCCAGAACATTCGTATTGTCCATAGTAAACAGAACTGCATATGCATCAATTATTGGAACCAAATTAGCCAACGTAAATAACCAAAAAAAATTGAGTAAGAAATTTGGAATGAAAATAAGAAAGTTGTTATTAGCAATCCAAAATAATCTTCATATAAAGAAACTGATGAGCAGACGATAATTATTTTGAAATACTAATAACAATTTCGTAAAAATACCTTAATTGGTCGGCTGAGTGTCCCCAATTGTCCCAACCCTGAGGGAGTATGGCATTAGGCATGTAAGTGAAGGCAAAAATGACTCTGGAGTAGACACCCCATGGCCTTCCTAACACTGCCGTTTTGACGCTGGTGATCTTGCAACCAAAGAAAATGAACCCGGTATCCTCTGAAGGTGACATCCTCCGTTGGGCTGTTATGGCACCCCCTCCGTCCGAAATCGAATGCAAATGGCACTTCTGTAAAATTAATTAATTTATTCAGCAATTGAACCCCAAACATATGATTTATCACCATACTTAATTCTTGAGAAATCTGTGAACTGCTACCAACGTAGCATGATGTTATTAATCCGCATATTATAATATGGATATAAAATGTATCATGTGCGAAATGATAACAAGAAGTGAAAGGTTTAGCCCGAAACAATATAACTTTAAACAAATAATCAAAAACCAAAACTCTGTAAAAATATTGTATTATTCTTATATGAGTTACCTCAAAAAAGGAAGCAGCATTCCCACATATAAAATCAGTGGCTCCTTCAATATAACAGTTGTTGTAGTAATGCCTGCTGGTGTCGTCAAGTAGGGTATCTTGGTAAGACAAAATTCTGCACACATAAAATGCTGCTCTATCTCCTGAGACCCTTAGCGCCACTGCTTTATCACCCCTTCCATAAGTGTTCTGCAATGAATTTCAACAATTAAAATTATTAGATTCAAGCGTATAGATGCATTATCGTAGGGAATCGAAGTAAGAATGGAGTGCCAGCTGTTGACTACCTAACGTACTCCCTCTCCTCTTTTATCCGGGCTAGAGACGGCCTAACTATGAAGACTTGGAAAGAGACTCTAAAAAAAAAAGACATGGAATACTTGGAGCTCATAAAAGAATTGGCACAAAACCGAGTGCAGTGATGCTAGTATTCATATAACCAACCCGACTTAGAGGGACAAGATTTTGTTCTTGTTGTTATTGTCGTCGTAAGAGTATATATGCATGTGAAAAATTTACGTATATTTGAGTGTGTACCTGAATTGTGAGGTAGCGCCCTATAAAATCCGAAGCCAACACAGAGAAAGTTGCAGATTCAAATATATTTCCACTGTCGTTCCACGTAATAACAGTGCCACCTGCCGTTGTGCCACTTATTGTAATAAAGGGCTTGTCCGCGGGGACAGTAATTTTTTCTTTGTAGACTCCAGGGTTAACCTTAACGAACACAAGATCGACGTTATTCGACGGCACGGCGTCGATGGCATCTTGTATTTTCTTGTAATCGCCTTTCCCAGTCTGATCCACGGTTATTAGTATTGCCGTGGACCCCTGAGTTGTGTCTGCTTCTGCTTGAGAAATCGCTAGAAGAACATACAACGAAGCCATGACAGAGAAGCACTTGGTCATAGAAGCGCCACAAACAGCCACCATGGTCGCAGTTGGAAGATTTTGGATCAAACACCTCTTAAAAAAATCAATTAATTAAAGAATGAATGTGTTGAAGTAAATATTGAAGAATGTGGAAAAAATCAATTAAGTAAAGAATGAATGTGTTGAAGTAAACATTGAAGAATGTGGAATGTTGAAGAAGATCGATCTTAATTCTTATATAGTAGTCTCAGGTGAATGACAGAGGAAGGTGAGGCCGTTTTCTTCGCAATGAAGTTTAAAGATAATTAGAATTAATCACTTCTTACGTAAACATGTGGAGGATAATTGTAAGGAATTTCCAGAGTAGCCGACGGCAGGAGACATTGAGACTGAAGAAACAAATGTCTGAAAAATGCGTGAATCCGAGGTGGCTAATCAGGTTAATTTGATATGAAAATGTTGTAATGGCGGCCTAATTAAATTATTGACGTTACACAAGTCTTGAGGTAGCTTAAGAATAATAAGCATGTCGTCATTTGTGTGATATTAGGGTTTATGACCAATTACGTTATTTGAGCAGGCAGCTCAGTTGCTTGGATTTGGAGCTTTGACCATGGCATGCCACCGTTGTAAACTAGGGCTGAAGCCCGGAACAGGTCCAATTCATAATTCTCACAATGAATTACAAGGCGAATATGCACATCGAAGAAAAACTAACAATAATATATCACTAACATTAATTGCAGAAAATAAAGTGATATCGGATTGTATGACTAGTAAAGTGGGTACGTACATGAAAGGCTCGGTAACTAATGAAGTTATTAGCTACTGAGAGGGCTTTTACACACATAGCTAACCCAGCACCAATTCTTCGATAACGAGTGGGACCAAATGATTCAATCGGGATAGTTGTTGAACCACACCACAAGTTCCAACAACTACAAAAGCGGCAAAACAGACAGCAGCAATATTACTGGAAAGACAGTTTCAATATTTCCATACGTAATCCTTTGTATAGGCGTTGAGGTGGACGTATTTTGTGTCTGCGGTCTTGTTTATTTCGCGGGATTTATTCCATGTTATGTTGTTACGGTGTCGGATGACTTTCCACTTATGGACAGCTAGTCTGAAGGTTCATAAATCTTTTCGTAGTAGACACCAGGTTGGACGGCACAGCATCAAATGGCATCTTGTATTTTAGTGTAATCATTGCTGCCGGACTGGTCGACTGTTATAGAAATTGACGGGGACACCAGAGTTATGCATACTTGAACGGCTTGTGAGAATACAGGCATAAAAGTAAGAAGTTTCAAGGCAACTGATAAGAAGCCCTTCATCATTCGAAATGTAGCCACCATGTTCGTAGAGAATCACAGAGATATTTGTAAGATGTTATGTAGGCGCGCGTTGCATGCATGCGGGTGGTGCATATATAGGGCTTCCCATATACGAGTATAGTACGAAGAGATATGTTAAGGGAAATCTTTTAAAAGTGAAACTTTTTATGGATTCTCATTAATTTCGTAGTTTAACGTTAATTTTCATGTCAATATTATAAAACTTTGTGATAAAAACATGAGATAGCAGAGAATCCATGCAAAGTATCACTTTTGTGAGAGTCCTCTTAAAATTTCTCATGGTAGGAATACTGGGTTGGTAATATTTCCATGTATAGAAGGGCAATTAAGTTACCCGCTTCATATCAGTTCTTGATTTGAACGAGTTTGAACTTATAAATGTTTTCCCGATTTAGTTAGGATTCTGCCTTTGCCTTTGGACGACTCCTTTCTCTTTTGGAAGAGATTTCTGAGTGTGGTAGTTACATGCCATGCAACGTTATTGATCTTTATTTTGAAATAAAAGATTAATGACAAGGTTGATATGTCACAAACATTTGATATATAGTTAATAATAGATAATAATATTAAATTTTAAGTGAATTCATAACTTTACTCAGTGGTGTAATTCGTTGTCGCATTTTATTTTCATGAGTACCATTATATATTTAGACACACGAATTTGACCTTTGTTGACCAATCTCTAACACAAATAAATTTCAATACACTACAAATTTAGTAGATCAAAATAGTTTTTTTTCCTTCTAGAGAAATAAAATGTATAACGAAAAACCACGAGTACAATCAAAG